ACAAGTGGTGTTCCAATATTCAAGATTTCTACTCGGACATCTTCTATGCGTATATTCACTCAAGCAATGACTAATCGACGACAAGAAGCTACAGTTCTCGACTCTATGTTCAGTTGTTTCTCAACTAACCAAAGAGTCGGGGGCTACACAAATACAAGACTCTCAAAATTCGACAAGCTTTATATCAAGATGAAGCAATCAATCAATCAACAAGTCAACTCGGGGAGTTATTATCTTCGTCTTCGCTTCAGAGCCGTCATTTAATTTCAGCGACTCCAATTATTACACCGGCAATTTTGGCTTCTTCACGCCGTCACAATCTACTCCAAATATTTCCAGTATCAATTTTGAAATTTAATCTACATGTTCGGGAGTTTGGAGTTATCAACCAATAAGTTCAGTTTTGATGAGTTGGACAACAGCATCTACTTTCCTCCAAGTGAAGAATCTGCAACAGCTATAACAACAAGTTCTACTGCCATCTTTATAAATCAAGGAGCTTTGCATCAATCTTCGTTATACACACTCTCGCGCCAAGAAAACTACTCGAGCTTCGATATCTTCTCAACAGTTTGATGGATTATTGTCATTGACTTCATCACCAGCACCTCTAATTCATCGGCCCTGACATCTCTGCCGTTGCTAATGGATGACTATGTCTTCGCCTCCAGTTGATTCCGTCGTTGCCGACTTGTTATTTCGCCTTCACGGTTGACCTACTATGCAAACGCTAATGAGCGTCTTCGTCATTATCATTGGTTGCTACACTGCTATTGACTGGATCATCGACATCGTCATCTTCATCAATATCCCTCTTCAACATAGCCTCTTCAACATAGCCTATTCTATTGCTGTTTGATGGGCAACTTCGTCATCATAGTCGATCATCTCTGTTGCTGCTTATCATCATTACTGTCGGTTGCGTTTGTCGTCGCCGACTATTTTCTTCATCTTCATGATTGATAGATTTTGCCATTGCCATTGATGAGCGTCTACATCTTCACCACCGGCTTGCCTCCGCCGCCGCCCATGATGTCTTCGCTTTCACGCTGCCATCAATGGACAATTATGACTACGACAGAAGGACAAGCTATATGCTCAGGGGCTTACTAGCTCAAACACAAGTATCATACCTTCAATTTGGACTTGTTTCGGATACATTCAACATGAATTTATAGTCATGAGTTTATTTTCTATGCTCAAAGACTGGACCAATTATTATTCCCCGTAAGGACTATCAACTGAATACTTGCGCCAGTCGGGATTTAATTATTATATCTATTTTGAAGTATCCCATAAGGGATAATCACTCAAATCAGAAGCTATTCATATGAGCTACACTTGGTCTACATTACCTAGAAGATTTATTACTCGGGAGCATGTTACATGCATCATCCTTTAAAGGGTGTCGAAGGCATATTTTTTGGCCTAGGCCTAATATGTCTGCAGCCCATATTTTCAGGTGTGGCCTGTCACATTCTTTTAGGGACTTAGGCACTTTTTGCTTAGGCCAAAGTGCGCGTGATCTAGTGCCCAATACCTTAAAATCCTTTTATACCGCAGTTACTCAACTTTTTAGGAGTTGGTACAATGCATCTTAAAAGGTGTCAAACAGTAAAGCTTTATATAGCTGCCCCGCTGACTTTTTTATATAGTCATGGCGCTGTTTGGGTTTATCAAGCAATTGATTGGATACAATATCATTGCTTTTTCACACGTAAGTGTGCATTTTTATTGACCAATATTATGGCTTAGGCTGATTATATATTTTGGTCATTTTCCAGACGATTGATAAATCCTTATGAGTTTATTTACTCGGATTTTATACCATATATGCCATATATTTCCAGGTGTGGTGAAACCATGTGTCTTTTAGGGACTCAAGCACATCTGTTAAAGCAGTGTGCGCATGGTGTATGCCCAATACTTTGGAAATTTATTTATTCACAACATACAAACTTCTTTATAGCTGTTTTGCTATGTGTATTCAATGATGTAGTCAGCTTTAGGTTGCACGCATCGTATTTTACAAAGCAGTCGGTATATCACTCGGATCATGTTATTCAGGGATTCACACCGCATATGCTATATATTAATATTAAGTCACTTGGTTAACTACAATTATCAAAACCACTCAGTTGGTGCATCTATTAGGTACATCTATTTGATGCACCTGACTTTATTTTTCAGCCCTCCATAGTCTTCATATTTGGTAAAAGTACTCGGGAGATCATGGCGAAGATGATTGAGGCACTTGGCTTTAGAGTAATCTAGTTCGAGAGAAGATTATCTTTCCGACTGTGAAGGTCTCAGGGGCTACTGTGGAGATTATGGGTACCCCATACCCATACGGCATGGTTATCCGACTAGTCATAGGGGATAGCTTATATCTATGGAATATGTAACCGATCATGACTTTGGTATTACGTTTCCTTTTATATTATGGAGCGGCCTAAAGTTCTGATTTGATAATATTGTAAAATAGATTTAGGAAACCGATACCGTATTGGTTAAGGTTTCTATCTTGTAATCCTGCCCCACATCTTATATAAGGTGGGCAGGAGGCCCTCTAGGGGGCATGACACAAACTGATCGTCAGATCAATATACACCCGGCGGATTCAAATCCCCAAACAGGAGTAGGGTATTACCTCTCATCGAGAGGGTCTGAACCTGTCTAAATCCTTTGTCTACGCATCCATCCACTTTTAGGTCTCGTGCGCTACCCCTTTTCATATTGCGATGGTGGAGGAAGCTGAGGAGGCTGTTGCCGCCACCTGGGTCGTGCAGTCTACCACACCCGCCCAAAGCAGTGTGGACATGGTTATTGTCATGGAGCTCAACGGATAGGTAGGAGGCCGAATGATGGATGGACCAGCTAGCGCTCCCCTACTAGCTGGCTAATAATCCTTGTGGAGTAACCCCTCCCTGCCTTTCTCCTCTTCTCCCCAGTGTTGCTATCGAGGCTAGCATGACGGGTATCTAGCACGGCCGACGTCCTGCTCCTGGGCTCCCTCCTAGCGATGTGTACAAAGAGGCTACTCTTTGCTCGACTATGACCTCTGCATACATCGTGCCAACTACCTCGCTAGCAAATATTACCACTCTCTGTCTTGATGGATAGGGACTATCGAGATCTCTACCACGGTCTCTCTACGGACAAGGCAACGGGATCCACTGTGCCATTGCTACGTGTTAGGGCCGCCTAGTCGTCGCTCTACCTTTGGCCGTGCCGTCGCTCTGGCTGGAGGAAGCGCCGTCGCCGCTCCACCACGCTGGCGCCCCAAATCCTGACCTATTGGAGGGGACTGTCGTCCTGCTCGAGCTCAGTTGTCGTCTTTCTGACGCGAGGTAAGGAATAATATGGGAGAAAAAGAGAGAAAGGAAAGAGAGGAGGATAAAGGGCCTGTTTAGTTAGTGAAATAAAAATTTTTGGGTGTCACATCGGACGTTTGACCGGATGTTGGAAGAGGTTTTCGGACACGAATGAAAAAAAACTAATTTTATAACTCGCATGGAAACCGCGAGACGAATCTTTTGAGCCTAATTAAGCTGTCATTAGCACATGTAGGTTATTGTAGCACTTATGGCTAATCATGGACTAATTAGGCTCAAAAGATTCATCTCACGATTTACATGCAAACTATGCAATTAGTTTTTCTTTTTATTTATATTTAATGCTCCATACATATGTCCAAATATTCGATGTGATGTTTTTGCGAAAAGATTTTGGGAACTAAACCGGACCACAAAGAGTACGAGGCCCTAACATGTGTGCCCCCACATGCTAACTCAGCTAGTTAAACCATGCCAATGAGACGCATTAGTGAAAATCGCCTTTAAAATAGTGGAGGGAGTCATTTTGTACTAGTTTTAATAGTTAAAGGATCGATACATCCAGTTTTACGATTAAGATAGATATGAATCGTGAAGTGCGAAACTGTGGCGAGTAATGATGCCATCCTAGGCCCCAGGGGCAGATTCACAATGGGGCCGGAGGGGCCTTGAGACCCCACTACCGCCCCCTAAGCCCCCACTAATTTTTTTTTCTATAGATCCATAGAATGTGGGGACTGGAGATTTGATTTATGCTGATGTAGTTTATTCAGCCCCCACTATTATTTTTTTCGGGACCACCTATATATTTATCGACAAATTTTCTCCTAAAAATTTGACAGATATAATTATAGTACAATTTTACTGTAATTACACTATAACTTGTATGTAATTACACTATAATTTGTACGTAACTACAGTGTAACTTGTATTTAAGTTTCACGTAATTTTGAATAATTAGATCTATTACAAGATTTGTTCTGGTGAGAAAGAAAAAAATCACAGCACACACATATGTGAAAGGATTTTTTCCCCATGATCTTCATTTTACCGAAATAATATGTTACGAAGAGATTTTAAAAGTTACATGCTAGTATATGCAAAGTACAGTGTAATTACATTACGACTGTACTGTAATTACATCTGTCAAATTTTTAGGAGAAAATTTGTCGACAAATATATAACAAAATTGTTTTTTTCTAGATCCGCCCCTGCTAGGCCCATTATGTAAATAAAGCTTGTAAAGAAAAAAAAAACCGACTGCTTTCCTCTGAAAGATGTGGCAACATCTGTATAACAAAATCGTTTTGGAATTCGATACCACGTAGCCAAGGTTCTCCTAGCTATCGCAGTATTCAGGGAACCTTGCACTAAAACTTGATAGCCTTGGAGTACATGGAGTTACGAATCCAAGTTCTTCAGGCTTCGTTATAAAAGAAAGTTCTCCAGGTTTCGTGTGCTACCTCAACGCGTCATAGTGTACAACACAATCCACTGGTAATCGTGCTTGGTCAGGCCCGTGTCGATGCGGCATCCAGGCATCCGGTGCACGCATGCCGTTTCACGCTCTACAGCGTGTGCGATGAACTCGTGGGAGACGTGGCCGCGTGCTGTCCCCGGGTTTACGAACTGAAATGTCCGGCCACCAGCTGGGCCAGCCACCAACCGCGGCCCGGAGACATTGCAAGATGAAACCCACCGGAACGCGTCGGCCCGCTACGCTTCTCTCCTCCTCCTCCTCAGCCCTTACCAACCAAAGCAAACCTTCCCCCTCCTCCTCCTCCGGCCACCGCGGCGAGAGGCCCCGATGGCGCCAACGGTGGAGATCAGCCACCTCTCCTTCACCTACCCGGGCATCGACGGCCGCCCGCCGCCCGGCGCGCCGCCGCTCATCGAGGACGTCTGCTTCTCCCTCGACGCCGGCCACCGCTGCCTCCTCCTCGGCTCCAACGGCGCCGGTAACTCCACTACCCTTTCAGGACCGTCCGTCCTTTCCTTCCTCTCTCCGGTTCGGGTTCTCTGGTCGCGGGGTCTGATTTTGGGTGGATGCTGGGGGGTAGGCAAGACGACGATACTGAAGATACTGGGCGGGAAGCACATGGTGGATCCGAGCATGGTGCGGGTCCTGGGCAGGTCGGCCTTCCACGACACGGCGCTCACATCATCTGGCGACCTCTGCTACCTAGGCGGTGAGGTGGGGGCTGGTGTTTTACGGAGTTACATTTCTATGTTTTGGCGGGTAATGGCATATGCGCCAATTTTGCTCTCAGTTGATCTGATGAATCTAATCGACTATTTTTTTTGTGAATTGGGTTCAGTGGAGGCGCGATGTTGCCTTTGCGGGCTACCAGGTAAATATACAGATGGACATTTCAGCAGAGAAGATGATATTTGGTGTTGTGGGCGTTGATCCTCAAAGGAGAGATGAGCTTATCAAGGCAAGCTTATATTCACTCGCAGCATATTCATCACCATATTGCGTTTCATGGGAAGTTCTCATTCGACTTGCGAAATTGACACAGTGAAAGACGAAAACTTAAGTTTAATACTATTAGCTCTATCATTTTCGTGCATCTATATTCTTTACCAATTATCTAGTGTGTGATATGTAGAAATGTTTACTCCTATTTGTTTATATGATTTCATTTTTTTTTAATTTTACCATGGGTGTATTTCCTCCATGTCCCATTGATTAACGGAAAATATAGAAGTTTGCAAGGTTGGGGAATAAACTAGGTGAAAGATCCTACTACCTAAGCATATGCATTGGTGAGAGGCTGGTAGGATTCTATTTGCCCCCACAAACCATTGATGGAGCTAGTAAAAATAAATTTCATATGGGCTATCAATTATGTTAGCAGTGATCATGCATCCTAAAGGTATCCACACACACAGCTCTATTTTGCATGGTCATACACTTGCATGTTCTCACCAGCCACATACTAAGTAACCAACTGAAAACAAACCAATTCTGGTAGTAATAAAGTATTGATGAATGTATTCCAGCTGATATCATTAGGTGAAGCATGGGTAAATGTTACTGTTGTGCTACAAAGAATTCATGTAATGAAGATAATCATTTACATGTTCAGCAAGCTTAAGTATGCCATCTGATAGCATTATGGCCTCATGGGTATAGAAACATCTTTGGTATAGTATTCCCGAAAAAAAAAGGAAACATCTTTGGTATATACCTTTGAGGAGGGAACACAATTTGGAAGGTCCTGGGGATATGGATGCACAGATCTGTAAATGCAAAGTTTTTTGTTGTTCAGTGAGAGAACAGTTGGAGAAGATCTAAGTATTTCTTTTTTCATACCCAAGTAAACACTTGTAAACAAAACCTTTAATTGTTGCAATTAATCTTAAATGACTTTAAGACTTCTATGTCATTGGTTAATTCACATATAAGTACATAGCATACCTAATCAAGCTTAATATAGATGAGCCAAATAACCTAAGATAAGCCCTAACATATATTTAGGTAAACTCAGTTTGCTAGTTCTTGTACTCATTAGAGGGTGTATGTGCTGATCCTTTGACCTTTACTTAGGACAATGCAACTATAACCCTCTGTTTGTACTCATGACCTATTCATTTAACCTTCCTTAGTTCCTTTTTCCACTCTACAGATTTTGGATATTGACCTTGCCTGGCGCATGCACAAGGCATCCGATGGTCAAAGGAGACGGGTCCAAATTTGCATGGGGCTTCTCAAGCCATTCAAAGTTTGTTTCATCTTGCTGGTTATGGAAAAGATGTGCCATGTTTGTAATTTGTATCCAAACAACAAGGTGCTAACACGAATTTTCTTTTATTTATTTTTTGAATTCAGGTTCTTCTTCTTGATGAGATCACAGTAGATCTGGATGTGTTGGCAAGAGCAAATCTATTGACATATTTAAAGAAGGAATGCGAGGAACGGGGTGCTACAATCATCTACGCAACACATATTTTTGACGGACTTGATGATTGGCCAACACACATTGTGAGCCTTCTCACTATACATTTCTAGGCTGAAGTTTTTTGTGTAATATTGAAGATTATTGTTTCTATTGGATTTCAGGTGTACATTGCCCGTGGGAAGTTGCAACTAGCACTGCCTTTAGAGAAGGTGAAAGAAATGAGCCAGTTATCTCTCATGGTAAGTAGCATTCATCTGACAAAATAGTATGTTTTAGCATGATGTGTATGTTCATCTGATTTTGCTGCATTTTGACCTCAGAGAACAGTGGAGAGCTGGCTGAGGAAAGAGAGAGATGAGGATAGGCGGAGAAGAAAGGAACGGAAGGAGAAGGGCCTCCCAGAGTTTGACAAGGTTACTGAGGGGAGTCGGGTTATAGGTGATCCCGCTGCCAGAGCGGTGAACAATGGGTGGGCAGCAGGGAGGCTCGCCTCAACGGTTGCTGGTGAAGAGAATTTCATTTTCAGCTCTAACAGCGTTCTTAGGCAATAATCCTACCCTGCAATTTGGCTTTGTAATGATGAATAACGATCCTATAGATCCAATAGATCACACCATCCCACAGGAGTTTTTGCAGTAACAGCCTAACAGGCTAACAGCAAAGTTCTTGTATACAACTGCTCAAAGATTATTTTCAAAAATTTCGCCTTCTTTTATGTATACAACTGTAATTTGGGTTTCATGATCTGATACTAGTTGCTGAATAAGTCAATATTGTTGTATATCTAATTTATTTTCCTTGATAATATGCATATATCCATTATTTGCATTTCTGTTCCCATCAAAATATTTCTTATCACCAAGAGCAACCGTATTTCCTTAGCAAGAAGATGAGCATCTTAGTACATGTTGAACTTGAACTCAGGTAAGTTTATTTGTTCTCATTCTAACAAATTTGACTGTTTGCTTTGTGCTGGCTCATCTGGTGCCTAACATGATGAAAGTAATTGATAATGGTATGCTGTCTATTTGCAGGATGTAAATATCATATTGTATGGTGGACATTTGCTGTTTTTGCCTGTAACATGGCAAACAAGATTACAAGAATGTCACAACAAGTGACATGCAAAAGTTATATCGATGAAGACCTCTAATGGGTGAGAGTCTTTAGTTCTGCTTGGGACCAAATGAAAAATAAAGTTATCATTATGTAAACAGAAGGCATCGGCCTAAAGCAATTCTGAAACTTGCAAAGTTGCAATAACAATGCTCCAGTGGTGATCATTTCTAGGTACACTATGTCTGCATCCGCAATTTTTCCCTTTCTGTGTGCACATTTTGATCGGTTCATTTGTTGTTAGTAATGAGCAACGATTGCCGTATGCGTTACATCATGCCATCAGCCATACATGTGGACAAATGCATTCAGTCCTTATCTGCCTTATCCAAGAAAGGCAAACTTCAGAGATGAATAGGACCACTCCAAGCTGTACTTTGGTCCATGGAAGCACATTCTGACAGTTCATACTTCATAGTGGCATAGCAATGGGCTAAGTTCATATATTTATGATTTCTGGCATTATTACAGGCTTCTGTGAAGCATCCCATGTACTCTCTCCGTTTCATAGGCCTTGTTTGGATCCTCTGAGCTATTAAATAGCCCTCCGGAATCTTACTATTTAGGAGTATTAAACGTAGATTACCGACAAAACCGATTCCATAACCCCTAGGCTATTTTGCGAGACGAATCTAATGATGTATATTAATCCATGATTAGCGGCTGATTACTGTAGCAAATCATGGATTAATATACCTCGTTAGATTCATCTCGCAAAATAGCCTAGCGGCTTGTTTGGTAAGGGAAGGGGATTGGGAGTTTACACGAGGGAATTGATGATGAGATTAAAATGGGAATTTGATTTGTAATCCCAATATCTTGTTTGGTAGAGGTGATGGAAATTGATAGGGAGTTTAGTTAGAGATTAGGCCATTAATAAAAACGGATGACTGAGATTTGCTTAGACAAAGTAAATGAGGAATTCCCTCCCAATTACCTGCCCCTACCCAGGTATTGAAAAGGAAGGAATTCCTTCCTCAATTCCCCATCCCCATCCCACCAAAATTCTCATGTCTCCCAACCAAACAAAACACTTAATAGCCTCATCCCTCTAAACTCCCAATCCCTCCTAAAAACTCCCTCAAACCAAACGGGCCGTAGGGGTTATGGAATAGGTTTTGTCAGTAATATACGTTTAATACTCATAAATAGCAAGATTCCAAAGGGCTATTTAATAGCCATCCGGATCCAAACAGGGCCATAATGTAAGTCATTATAGCATTGCCCACATTCATATAAATGTTAATGAATCCAAACATATGTCTATGTCTATATTCATTAATATCTATATGCATGTGGGCAATGCTAGAATAACTTACATTAAATGGAGGAAGTACAAGTTTTGCATTGCAAATTCTTTCATGTTATTTTCAGCTTTGAAAGTTCCGCTGAAATGTCTGGAACTCCTGCATTCGACAAGTTTTGGAATATCCACTAATCCGTAACATTTTGTTATCCAAACACACTCAACAACGAGAGAAGTCCCAATCGAAGTTCAGGATCAGCGCACAGCAGACACCAAGGCTAAATACTTATCAACTTGTCTATGTTCAAACTTAATTTCTGAACAAAGGTATTAGGTTCGAAGTTCAGTCAACTGAACATATATAGCTCATGTTTAAGAGAGCTTCTGTGATGTTTCAAGCATGTTGTGAACTGGTGATGACTATACATACTGAACAGTTGGCAACATGCTCGCAGGGCGGGTACTACCTTCGTCTGCTCGAGACAACGAAAACACACAACATGATTAAAAAAATGCTGTAAACTTTCGGTCACTATCCAGTAGTATCCACTAGCAACATTCTGAAAGGTGTTTCCATTGATATCGAATCCTATCCGAATTCTGAAATCCGCTTCTAACCGCCATGATCCACTTGCTGAGTTGATGTCAGCTTAAGATCATGGAGGTCAGCATGTGTTGTTTAATCCTGTAGAAGAAGAAACGCAAGTTCGTTACAGTCTCTCGCAGAACGGCAGATGTACTCATTTAGTCTCCGAATAAACAAACTTAGTATTAAATACAATATAGTATAGTACTTATAAATTTAAACATGTTACATTCTGTATTATGTTTTATTTATTTTCGGATACAGAGAGAATAGACATCAACAAAGGCCTGGTTTAGTTTTTAATTTTTTTCTAAAAACATCTCATCAAATCTTTGGAGATATGCATGGAGCATTAAATATAAATAAAAATAAAAACTAATTGCACAATTTACATGAAAATAGCGAGACTGATCTTTTGAGCCTAATTAGTTCATGATTAGACATAAGTGCTATAGTAACCCACATGTGCTAATGATGGCTTAATTAGGCTCAAGAGATTCGTCTTGCAGTTTCCAGGCGAGTTATGAAATTAATTTTTTTATTGAGAGAATCCCTTATATGCCACTCTAAATTAACCGGCTCCCTTATATGCCACTTCAAATTGGCTTCTCCCTTTTATGTCACCGGTTCAAGTTTCTCCTCTCTTTTATGCCATTGCCGTCGGTCTACCGTCAGTTGACCGTTAACTTCATTGTAAAAAAGACGCATTTGCCCTTTAGAATTAGTATACAACCAATAATAGGTATTTTAGTACTAATATAGCTACTGGATACAACATATGAAAATTGATTTTTTCTGCATCACATGCAATTTTAGCCATTACCATCACAAATAAATTTTCAATGTAAGCATGAAACATGCAGTTTTCCAACAATATTTTTAATATAAAGAGCATTTTTCACTGGTTCTGACAAAATTTTGTTCACTCAAAAAGGATTTAAAATAAATTAGTTATGATTTTTTGAAGTTTACATATTTTTTAGTTGAGAGGGCATATTGGTCATTTACGAAAAAAACTAACATTTGACTAACAGTCAACTAACACTATAGTGGTGGGAGTGGCATAAAAGGGTGGAAAAACTTAACTAGTGGCATATAAGGGAGAAGCCAATTTTGAGTGGCATATAAGGGAACTGGTCAAATTCTATGGCATATAAGAGATTCTCTTTTTTATTCGTGTCTGAAAACCCATTTCGACATCAGGTCAAACGTCGGATGTGACACCCGAAAATTTTCTTTTCGCGAACTACACACACCCAAAAGCTCAAACTCTGGACGTGCCGCCGGCTTCTGCCGGTAAAACATTGAACCAGTCACACCATTCTTTTTCTGAATGAACAAAAAAAGGCACAGCTCCTTTTCTTTCCCACCAAGAAAGACAAGGCACAGCACAGTGCCCCACCCATCATCATCCATCACAGCCCGGCCATGTCACGGCAAAAGGGCGGCCACTTCACCTCGTCGTCACCAGAAAAACTTTTATTTTTCTTTTTCCCCCATTTCTTTCACAAACGCAAACACACAACCCTCTCGCCCTCCTCCTCCTCCTCCTTTCCCTTCTCTCCTCGCCTTCGCCTTCGCCTTCGCCTCCTCTCCTCCCGACCTCCCCCATCGCGTCGCCGCGACGCCACCATGCTCGCTCCTCGCGCGTCCTAGTAGCGGCCGACGCACCTCCCTCCCTCCCCCTTCCGCGCGCCATGGCTCGGGTCTCCGCCGCCGCAGCCGCCGCGGAACGCCAGCTCGCCGTGGCCTGATTGATTGTTTGATTGATTTGGCTACGTCGACCGTCTCCCTCGCTCTCTCTCTGCACGTGCTTTTACGGTAGTCCCCCCCCTTGACCCCTTTCGGTGCGCTGTTGCGATTCTGTGGTGAATTCGATTTAAGGGTGGATTTCTCTGGGTACGAATGGATATGGTGGTGCCGGGTAATGATTGTTTTGTGGGCGTGACGGGTGATTGGATACGGTGGTTTTTCAGTAGTGGTAGTCTTGTGTTAGGGTTGTTGATTGCGCACGGATTTCCTCTGTTGTCTTGAGCTAAATTGCCAGAATTGGTGGTTCGGATGTTGATAAACGCCTAGGTAGTACCTGTTAGGTTCGTTCAATTTGTCACCAGAATAATTTCTGAACGAATTTTTGCCAGTCTGGGTGTTGGTCTGCTTCTTGTTCTGGTGCCGTTGGAGGGCTATTTCTGCAAGAACTACAGTTATCTGTTCGTTTTGGATGGTTATCTGGTGAGCTGAACGGCTGCATGGTGCCAATTTGCTCCGAGGTGAAAACCTTGCTTGGGAATTAGAGTTGACTGCTAGTGCTGATGTATCTTTGGAGCTTTGGTGATCAAAGCCTCAAAGGACATGACCTGTGCAATAAACAATTACACCTTCTTGCAACTTGGCTGCATTACTTTGACAAAGTTTTCTAGTAGACTCTGCAGCCAATTGCATGGGAAACAAAAATCACCACTTCAATTGTTCTGCGGAATTATCCCAAGTCCCGAGTTTTCTGTTGTGTGCAGAAAAGAATACGTGGTGCTTAATTTGCATCAATATTCTATGCTTCCTCGAGCATCAGCACGTATGCCAGAATTAGTATATTTTAGTTGCTTGTGGTTTTGTTAGACTTGGGTCTGTTGTTAGTACAGTGGTCCTGATTATACTATGGAATATATTCCATTATTAACAATCTGTGCTTAAATTTTAATGTAGGTACTAGGCCTTTGAGTTGTTATACAACAACTTTTTTTTTCTGGAGAAAGATGTCTCCAAGTTTGTAGTATTCACTCTGTTTTTCTCAATCAACAGTAAAATCTGACCCCCTTTTTTATCTTTTTTCAGAATCTCGTAGGCATTTACCTATTATCAAAAACCAGCACTTCTGATCCAAAAAGGATACAAAATTGAGAGTTAGAGATATCCATGGTAACTTTATCCTGCAACATAAAACCTTCATGCAGACTGATGCGTTTGTTGTATTGTTTCTTTATTTTGTTTCTCGATGCCTTTGACAATTCAGAGCAATAGAGTTCATTAATTTGAGCTGTTCATTTTTTTAATTTAGATGATTCTAGACTTGTGTTTTTCTCCAATCTGCAGAAAGATTGCATATTGTTCTTCTGATATGCTTTATAAATATATTCATATCTTCCTCCAATAAAAAGAGGAAATGAAAACAACAAAGTTTACATGAAAAAGGAGTTGATTTTTAACTGCAGACACAATGGTGCCTTTTGTGTTTGATAAAGGACTGCAGAATTTTTTTTATCTCATGAGTATTTGGAGATATTGGTTGTCCCACACTTAGTGGCTGTGTTTCTATGGTTTCAGATGCCTGGTTTTGGTACAAGTTCTTCCATGGGTTCTGCATCTCACCCTGCTAGAATCGAGTATAACACAAGTAGCAATGTGTCATCTCAATACATATATGAGCAGGGTCTTTATTATCCAGCAACAAACGGCTATGCTTACTATGCAGGTGTGTGTTCCCCTAGCCTCAATCTATTTATATTTGTGGGTTCAATCCTCGATGCTTATTGTTTTGGTTTCACTTTTGGAAGGCTTTGAGCCACCAGTTGAATGGAGTGATCACACTAATTTTGTGGGGGTAGATGGTCAAAACCTACAACTTTCAGTAAGTTTCATAGTAGAACCCTGGTTATTATTATGATTAGAACATTTTTAAATTATTTATTATTATTGTGATTGTTTCTTGATGACTATTTTTTTTGGTTGCACAGAATGAAAACCTTCCATATGTATATTGCACACCTGGCTATGGTTTTTCTTATTACTCCCCAGATCAGTACACCTATATGCCTGGCATGGTAATGGGAGTTGATGGCTCTTTTGTAGGAAGCCAACAGTATTTTGCTAGTCCATATCAACTTCCTGGCTCGCCATCTGGTTTCTTCCCGATGTCTATTCAGCCCACCACAGATTTCAGCTCAACTGTTTCTGCAGAACCTCCTTTACTTAGTACTGGCACTGGTACATCTGCTGTTGCTAGTAGGCTTGCTAACACCAGTATGAAAAACAAATATCAGATGTCTGGAAATACAGCTCCAGCTTCTCAGACTGCCCCTTCTGGAAGTCCAGCTGTTGGACGTCCTCAGCAGGCCTACGAAAACGAAAGCACAAATAAGCCATCTAATCCGCCTGATGCTAACATGAGTAGGCGTGACAAATCCTCAACCTCCCTTGTCACAGTTCCAGTGGATGCTTCATCGACTGACAAGGTATTTGATTAAACTTGAATATATACAGTTTAAGAGTTGCACCTTCTGGCACCAAAAGGAAAAATTACACAAGTACTTTCTTTTTTTTGTATATAAAAAATGTGCATACTTCTGCCTTTATTTTGCTATAGTTCTCATCTGTACTTCTGGGCTTTAGTATTTTATTGCTTTTGGAGACTATGTACCTAGTATGTGTTAATGTTCATACTGAACACTGAGTTAGGACCTACAATAATCTATTGGCTTGCATTGTGGATTCTAATTAAAAGTAATGCAGTACTAAAAGCAAACATTCTTATGCTCCCTCATTTTTCTTCTTCTGTTTGTTTACTTCGTGAAAATTATTCGTTGTCTCATGGAGTTACGGTACCATTCTTTACGTCACTTTCATGATGCTGTTTCTTTTGCAGTAAACAGCCTCTTTTGTTATACCCATCAGCTACCAACTAGCGTTCACAAGTATTATGTTTCCAAAACTTATATTAAACCTAGAGTTTTGATTATGCCACCTGCAGGATGGAAAATCTGATGAAGGTAATCAGTCAAAAGAACATGTGCAATCCATTCAGGTTACTTCAGGTCCCATGTCTGGCGAAAGTGGACAAGGCAAAGCAACATCAAACAGTACATTGGAAAAAATTATGATACATCCTGACCAATACAATAAGGTTCACTTTCCTGTTGATCATCCAGATGCCAAGTTTTTTGTCATCAAATCTTACAGCGAGGATGATGTACATAAGAGCATTAAATATAATGTATGGTCAAGCACACCTAATGGCAACAAGAGGTTGGATGCAGCCTACTCAGATGTACAAGGAAGAGCTCTGGGAAAGTGTCCAATATTTCTCTTTTTTTCTGTGAGTGTTGATGAGTCCTCTTTTTTCTTTTCTTTTCATAAAATTGTTATTTGTGAATTTGACTTACTAACACTTATACTTTAGGTTAATGCTAGCGGGCAGTTCTGTGGTGTTGCTGAAATGGTTGGTCCTGTTGATTTTCACAAAGACATGGATTTCTGGCAGCAGGATAAGTGGTCTGGGAGCTTCCCGGTGAAGTGGCACCTAGTAAAGGATGTGCCCAACTCCACCTTTCGGCACATTATATTAGAGAATAACGAGAACAAGCCTGTTACCAACAGCCGGGATACACAAGAGGTAAATTTTGATAAATTTCCTGGAATACAATGATTATATACTGTGTGTTGTATCAATATGTTCAGTTACTTAAACAGTTGAAAGTCTAGAGGTCGAAATAATTGAAATATAGATGGAATTATGGAACTGTAAAATCTTATAGTTTATTTGTTCTAATCTAACATGGTTCTTCTGTCTATTGTTATATAGTATATACACATTTGAATATGCTTTTATTGAACCTCCCTAACTAGGGTCACCATTTGTTAATGTCCTGATGACTGACTTCTTTTGTGTAGATTCCTTTTAAGTCTGGGACAAACATGCTGAAGCTATTTAAGGATGGCCCATTGACAACATCTATTCTTGATGACTTCTCGTTTTATGAAGGGAGACAGAAAGCAATGCTAGAAGAGAAATGCAGATGTTCGGGTAGAAATTTTGATGTACGCATGTATGTTCCAGCATTTATCGCTAAAAGCAGTGTTGTTGCGGTAGGTGAACCTTCAGAAGTAGGTAAAGGCCAGTTTAGCAGCAAAGATCTACATTCAGGGGATGTTGAACAGGATAATGGTGCATGTGAGCAACCTGACAAGCTGAACCAAATGAAAGACATACTGGCCACTGAAGCACTCAAAACGGATGGTGGAGCATTTGTTGGGCAACTTGAGCATGCAAAAACAAACCAAGGTAGTTTAGATGCCAGAGTTGATCATCAGAGTGAACATTGTTCCTGTTCTAACCCACCAGAAAACGGTGAAAGAAAACCTGATAGCTTGAGCGAACTAGTAAAACTAAATGGGAAGAGTCAGCGTGATTCTGAAGCACAACCTGGAATAAACTTATCAGAACCCAATTATTCTTCTGTCAAGAAAGGTCTTCCTGAAGAGTTCTGTGGTCAGAACCCCTCAAATTTTATGAAAGAGGGAGGAGCTGGTACAGTCGAGGATAGAAAGTCTACAAAATTTGTTACCAAATCACAGGGCTTTCCATCTAGTCGAGTGAACAAGGAAGCGAAAGGCAATGGTAATGAGATGGCAAGGATCACTACAACTGGTGTTGTGAAGGTTGGCTCAGTGCACATCAAGGTAAATGTGGCAGGTGAGCCGTCATCAGAGATTATAGGTGATGAAAATGGGCTTCCCTGAGAGTTTAAACGAATGGTGCAGAAGGAACGGATGGTGTTAACTGTTTAGTGGGGCGTGTGTCTCTTTGGGGGTTGGGAGGGAGGGTTGGGTGGTGAGGTGAGGTGAGGTGAGGTCTTAGCTTAATGATTAATTGTGTTGGTCAGGTTTTGCTTTTTGCGGGCATTACAGTTCAGTGAGCTTGACATTGAGGTTGCTATTGGGTATAGGCATTTCGCTTTGTTTTTTGGGTACATAACCTCCAACAGGTCATAGATGTTTTGTGGTGGGAAAAATGTTTCCATTTTGTTGTTATGGCAGGCAGTCCTTTAGTTTCATCTGCTCATATTTGGTGAGTGAATGATATCAAAGGAGAGGAGCCATTCATTGTTGACAGCGACTGGGTTTTGCATTTGGTGGTATTGGGTGAAATGTAATCGTGTTCACCATTATACCGAATTACCAATACAGAAAATATCGAGTACTGATTTGCTCATGACTAGTATTGACTAGCAACTGTTCTCTCGTGTGTGATGTTTTCTGCCGGCTTGCATAAGTTGATACTTATGTGCGTCGTATTGGAACCATTTTGTAAAACTAGTAATATACCCGTGCTAATGCTACGGCGATTTTTTATAACACAATGGTGATAGGTAGATTAATGTTGAGAATCAAACAACTTCATAGTGGCCAACAAATCATACTTGTTGCTCACAATATACTAATTTAATGCAAAACTTGCTGATACATAAAACCCATTGCATGATCAACTACGCCTGAGCTGTCACAAGGGTAGGGATGAAAACGGATCGGAAACGAACGAAAACTAGTTTTATCATATTCGTTTTCATTTTTTTTCGGAATCGGAATCGAAAACTTGGATACGGAAATGAAATTGAATATTATCGAATACAGATACGGAGCGAATACGAGACGGAACGAATACGGTAGCGAATATTTACCGGTATATAAAAAACCCCTCAAATAGAGTTTCTTGATCAAGGAAGAGATATCGCTTATTATTTTAGTTCAACATCTCCAACATTTATATCGTCAATTTTGTAGACGGTCCCACAACCGTATGTGAAAATCGATTTTCATGGCTATTCCTTTAAAAGATCCATATGCAAATATGATTATCATTTTCTATTCCCATGACCTTTTACTAGATGTATAACTTACTTACCATTGTATAAATTGGAGATGTTATTTATTTTACTTCACATCTTCGAAACTTGTAATGTTTGTTTTATACTTTAAATGCTTTTAAATACAAATGTTGTAAACTACAAAGTGGTAGATCCCGTTGAGCTCTACAACTTAGATACGGAACATATCTTCATCCGATGTCGTTTGAATTGTAGATCTGAGATTTTGTAAAAATTAATATGGTATATTATAATGAATATTTAGACCCTTAAATAACCTCAAATAATAAAATAGTCAATAAGAAAGTTGTAATCTTATCGAGCTCTATAATGTTGATATAAAGTTTGTCTTCATCTGATTCCGTATGAAAAAGTTATGTATATATACGTTTTTTTAAATTTACTCAATATCTGCGGATATCCGAAAAAAGTTCCGGATAGTTTTCGACCGTTTTCCGATTCCGACGGATAGTACCCTTACTGTATTTGTTTTCGTTTCCGAGAAAAAAATCCGAATTCATTTCTGAATCCGAGAATTTCCGGATAGTTCTGACCGAAACTATCCGAATCCGAAAAAATGGTCTGGACGGACGGAAACTATTCGAACCAGTTTCAACCCTACACAAGGGTAAGGGTTCTCTGGAAAATAAGAGCACATACAACAATAGTGGAGATCAAACATAGTTTACAGGGTCATTCACATCTAATTACAAGTGCAATAAGCATTCTTTCTCCTTTTCTAGCCTCTAAAAATAGGAACACTGATTCAAAAGAATAAGAAGCTAGTTCACCCATCCCTATTCTCCCAAGTTACTCTAGGAAGGTTGACTTTGAGGATTGTTTGATTTCTAAACAACATCCTTTAAGGTGTTGGAGAGGTTCTTGTAAAACTCCAGACATTAAAAATTACATGATTCAGTACAAGATATTCAATTGTTAAGCATCCCCGTTGGGAACCAGCAGCTGCTGCATCACTAGAGTCAACTTCTGCTCCTAATCTCATACCATAAGTATCATGATCTATAAAGTAATGCCATTCAGATAATTGATGTGAAGACTAAAAATTTTATAATACCTTCAACTCAATTGCCTTTTTGTAATGCTCCACTTAGTTTCAGAAAATGCAACTGCTACTAATGGTAGGCCACACATGTCTTGTAGCATTTTCCTCCACTTTTGCAGTGAGGTGAAAGTAATTTGACAAAATTTTAACTATGTTGGTAGAGCAGAGATGTTCAGTGCAAAATTACATGTCTAATTTAAACCGTACCGGGGTATTTCGTCTTCCCATAAAACAGAAAAATTAGTTGAGCCTTGTAAAGTAAAATATTAGATGTAGGGAGTTGAGCATTATCGTTGATTAGGAAATAGTTCAGGTTCTAAAGTCTAAATCAGAGATTGAGCATTACCGCTGTTTACAAATTAAACTGACCAAAATCAAATCTAAGGATGTTTCCCTGGAATTTCAGAATTGATATGTTTACACTCTTTTCCAAGAACACACGAATGTACTGCATGCCCATCAAGAAGGAAGATAGGAGGCTTAGACATATCATATTACTATATCTGGATAATAAGAGGATAATATAATTAAAGCCCTTCATCATGCTCAGAAGTAAAAGAGAGCTGAAACTCACTGATTTAGATGTTTGGATCACTGCAGGCTGCAACATGTGATGTTCACTTTAAAAAAGAGTACACACTTCAAATTTATCTGCACTGGTCACACAACCTAATAAATTCACTGGACACCAATCTAATGACATGTATTTTGACAAAATATGTAGCAGCGAAAGTACTAATCAGCCATAAATCACATCATGAGCTACAAAACATCATCAACGTTGCACAACAAATCGACATAAAGTCATGCTTGTACTGTTGTTTCCGACTTCATAAAGATTTTCCTGTAAAACTATATAAGGAACTGGTGAATTATCAACACCAAACATGGCATATGGATATGTTATCATGAAAAATGGGTATAAACCTACAAGGCTAACCTCAACAAATGAAAATCTTCATTGATCATGATGACATAAAAGCACATGAATATGAAAAACATATGTATAGGATATTATCTAAAAAAAATATGTATAGGATACAAATGCATGTGCAAAACAAAGAATTGAAAAATATAAAGAAAAAACAAGGTGCGTTGTTTGTAAGTTATGAATTGATCAAAGTGTAGTATTCAAAGGACTGAAGTGTACCCAATGGTGCCATTGTTCAGAATGTGCTTAATTCATGATCACTTATCATGGACTTATCAAAGTATTGAAAAAAGAGCCCTCGATGGATGTTTAAATTCCTATGGAATTGATAGCGAAGAGAAATCAATCCTTTGTTTTTCCTATACCCAATTCTTTTGATCGAAAGGCGTGACTAATGGTATTCTAGATATGAAATCGTATCACTACAGGAGTTCAGACTTCTTGTGTCCAAATAATGTGACGAAGTTTTATTTCGCCACTATTTATCGTAATTGTAGTGACCCAACAAGTTTTCGCCACTGTGATACCAATCATTAGTGAGAAAATGTTAAGTCACCACAAGATATAGCATTAGTGTCAAATCTTTAGTGAGAAATTAATGTTTTTCCTAAAAGCAATCCTTCAATCAAAATGAGGCCTAAAATGTGGGGATTAAGGTAGCAGGGAAACTTCAACATGTTCTCGATCTTGCAGACTCTGCTCAGTTAAAATCTGGATGCTCAGGTAGACTTCCATCACTACATCAGATTTATGAGACCTACCTTAGACCATGTGAGTATTAATCAGCCCAACGGAGGACACAGGCAGCACAAGCATGGCAATGGTGCTGCATAGAAGGATTTACCATGGATGGACACAGGCAGCACAAACATACAGGGATAAACAGATGAATCATCAACATGCTTGTTGCCCTCTATCATATATTCACATTCACCAGATTTGCTAACAGTGACCACATGGCAAGCCAACTAAATAAACAGCAGAAATTCAGCCCAAAGTTAGAACTACATACTCTGTTCTGATTGAAGCTGAGCACTTTACCTTCTTCACTTACTCCCTTTGTACCATAAAAAACGAATCATAAGTACCAGATGAAACATATTCTAGTACTATGTCAAGATTTGTAGTACTAGGATATGTCATATCTGGTATTAGGTTGGTTTTTTATGGGATGGAAGGAGTACACGTCAGTCACCCATGTTTGGCCACATGATGCTAAACCCTGTTTGGATCAAGGGACTAAATTTTAGTCCCTATCATATCGGATGTTTGGACACTAATTAGAAGTATTAAACATAGACTAATGACAAAATACATTCCATAATCCTCGACTAATTCGCGAGACGAATCTATTGAACCTAATTAATCCATGATTAGCCTATGTGATGCTACAGTGGATTATATGGATTAATCCACATGTGCTAATTATATGGATTAATTAGGCTTAAAAAATTTGTCTCGCGAATTAGCTCTCATTTATGCAATTAGTTTTATTATTAGTCTGGTTAATACTTCTAATTAGTGTTCCATGGATCCAAACACCACCTAAATCATCAATTTCTGATCCGAAGAGAGAGTACATGATTAAATCTTTGGTGAGGATGATAAATCCTCAATTCAGATCTAAAGGGAGGTAATAATGATGCTGCAGCCTACTCTCTCCGTCCAAAAAAAAATAAATCTAGAACTAGACGTGATACATTCTAATATAACGAATTTGAACATCTATTTAGATTTATTGTACTCAGATGAGTACCGTAGGGTTGTCGATGGGCCGATGGCTAACACAGTATCTTCCAGTCCAATCTGTTTGTTGGCTGACACTGCTTCACTTTTACCATTCACCGTTGTCCACGACGCTTTGAAAGATGAGGAGGATACAGTGTTAGCCCATCGACAAACCATACATGGCACTATTCATGTTGCCGTATAGCCCCGTGTAACTCGACAGACTTGGCGTTACTCCATCCCCAAATTTCTCTTCCGCCAACCGCCATGCGTCTCCCGCCCGTCCGCTTCCTGCCGTCGAGCGCGGCGCCGGCGGTGGTGGCGGCGAACGCGCGCATAGCCCACCTCGCCCGGGCGGGGAACATCGAGGGCGCGAGGGCGGCCTTCGAGGCCATGCCCCTCCGCACCACCGCCTCCTACAACGCCCTCCTCGCCGGCTACTTCCGCAACCGCCTGCCGGACGCGGCCCTCGGCCTCTTCCGCCGCATGCCCTCCCGCGACCTCGCCTCCTACAACGCCCTCATATCCGGCCTCTCGCTCCGCCGCCAGACGCTCCCGGACGCCGCCGCCGCGCTCGCCTCCATCCCCTTCCCGCCCTCCGTCGTCTCCTTCACCTCCCTCCTCCGTGGGTACGTGCGCCACGGCCTCCTCGCCGACGCCATCCGCTTGTTCCAGCAGATGCCGGAGCGGAACCACGTCTCTTACACCGTGCTGCTCGGTGGACTCCTTGATGCCGGCCGTGTCAACGAGGCTCGCAGGCTGTTCGACGAAATGCCTGACAGGGATGTCGTGGCGTGGACAGCCATGCTGTCTGGGTACTGCCAGGCTGGTCGGATCACTGAGGCACGCGCTCTGTTTGATGAAATGCCGAAGAGGAATGTCGTGTCATGGACCGCGATGATCTCCGGATATGCTCAAAACGGTGAGGTGAACCTTGCAAGGAAGCTGTTCGAGGTGATGCCTGAGCGCAATGAGGTCTCGTGGACTGCAATGTTGGTTGGGTACATACAAGCTGGCCATGTTGAGGATGCTGCAGAGCTGTTTAATGCAATGCCGGAACATCCAGTGGCCGCCTGCAATGCCATGATGGTTGGGTTTGGGCAACGTGGAATGGTGGATGCTGCCAAGACAGTGTTCGAGAAAATGTGTGAGAGAGATGATGGGACATGGAGTGCCATGATTAAAGCGTATGAGCAGAACGAATTCTTGATGGAGGCACTATCTACCTTCCGTGAGATGTTGTGGAGAGGTGTCCGTCCAAACTACCCATCAGTCATCAGCATACTCACAGTGTGTGCGGCACTGGCTGTTCTTGATTATGGGAGGGAGGTGCATGCTGCAATGCTGAGATGCTCCTTTGACATGGACGTCTTTGCTGTGTCAGCATTAATCACAATGTATATAAAATGTGGAAATCTGGATAAGGCCAAGAGGGTCTTTCACACGTTTGAGCCAAAAGATATTGTGATGTGGAACTCCATGATCACTGGTTATGCTCAACATGGATTGGGGGAGCAAGCACTTGGCATATTTCATGATATGAGGTTGGCAGGAATGTCGCCTGATGGAATTACTTATATAGGGGCCCTCACAGCTTGTAGCTATACCGGTAAAGTTAAAGAAGGGAGGGAGATTTTTAATTCTATGACTGTGAATTCTTCCATCCGACCTGGAGCTGAGCATTATTCTTGTATGGTTGATTTACTTGGTCGATCAGGCCTTGTGGAGGAAGCATTTGACTTGATAAAGAATATGCCAGTTGAACCAGATGCTGTCATCTGGGGAGCTCTGATGGGTGCCTGTAGGATGCACAGGAATGCTGAGATTGCTGAGTTTGCTGCTAAGAAGCTATTAGAGCTAGAGCCTGGGAATGCTGGACCGTATGTCTTACTCTCTCACATTTATACATCCGTTGGGAGGTGGGAAGATGCTTCTAAGATGCGGAAATTCATTAGCTCAAGGAATTTGAACAAGTCACCAGGCTGTAGTTGGATAGAGTACGACAAGAGGGTGCATCTTTTCACATCTGGTGATGTATTAGCACATCCAGAACATGCCGCTATTCTTAGGATATTGGAAAAACTAGATGGGCTATTGATGGAGTCTGGTTACTCGGCTGATGGAAGCTTTGTGCTTCATGATATAGATGAGGAGCAAAAGTCTCATAGCTTGCGGTATCATAGTGAGAGACAGGCTGTGGCATATGGACTACTGAAAATCCCAGAAGGAATGCCCATTCGTGTCATGAAAAACCTCAGGGTTTGTGGTGACTGCCATTCTGCAATAAAGTTGATTGCAAAGATCACTTCTAGGGAAATCATACTAAGAGATGCCAATAGATTCCATCATTTCAAAGATGGGTTTTGCTCATGCAGGGACTACTGGTGAGGTGAATAGTCTGGTCTTTTCCTTTCTCAGCACCTTCCCTTTAGTGATCCTTCCATTTGGTGAGTCTTCTATCAAGGACCTTGGTTTCTCAAATTATCTTGTTTGTTGACCCTTCTAATTTTTTGTGTCTCAGTAGCTGAGAACAGAGATCCTTGGTTTCTCAAATAAAACTGTCAACTATGAACACATTATATTAATTTCATTATTACAGCTCTTTTCTATATCTAATTTAATAATATCTGGTTTTAAAACTTATTCAGGATCCAGGTTTCAAAACGTCCATTTGACCGTGAAGTACACCATCCGTTGCAGGCTAACTGCATCTGGTCAATTGTCCTGTCGAGGTATGCTGAACCATTCACAGTGTAATGCAGGGTGCTGCTCTAAGGGCCTGTTTGGTAGGGTTCTAACTCCAAAATTTAACTTCAGGAGTTGGGTTTGGAGTGGAGTTGTGAAGCTGTCTAAATCCAGCTGCACCTCTTTAGTTCATTTTGTGAGAGCACTTCAGCCAGCTCCACCCGAAGCTCCACTACCTTTTCGGGTGGAGCTGAAACCGTTTGATTGGGCTCCAGCTCCAGGAGAGGTGGAGCTAGAGCCAAAGCTGTGCCAAACAGACCCTAAGTAACATCACATCTTAGAAATCAGAGTTAAGCACTTACGCTGAACTAGAATATGGGTAAGTATGTTATCCTCAGATAAAACACAGATGCAAATCATTTCCTTGTACATGTTTCATTGACTTTCAAAAGTAGCATTTTATATTTTGAATTGTTAAATCCTCCAAAGAAAGCTGCAAGGTAAAAATTACTTCATACTTCCTCCTTCCCAAATGTCGCAACCTAGGACCGGATTTGACACAACCTAGCACAACAAATCTGGACAGACCAAATCCGGTCTTAGGTTGATATATTTTGGATGGTGGTAGTATGTTATTTACTCACCCCATTTATGTGTATATGTTGGCATTTCACATTGAACTATCATTTTTGCAGATACATGATCCACTACTCGGCACTTCAGCCTAAACACTCTATATATTGTGTTTAATTTGGTGGAGCTAAACTTTGGGATAGTTGTAGCATGAAAAACAAGCAAATTTCTGTGGTGGTTCATCAGGCAGGCTTTCTGATCATAAATTTTCTTGTGAATATTGAGTTCAGAAGATATCCATCTAATTTTTGGAACAATCCTGTGGATGATTTGATTGGTTATCAACGATTCAAGAATCAGCATAAGGCAGGCTTTCTGATCATAAATTTTCTTGTGACTGAGTTCAGAAGATATCCATCTAATTTTTGGAACAATCCTGTGGATGATTTGATTGGTTATCTTATCTACGATTAAAGATTTAGCAGTAAACAGTTGACCAACAGCGGATCCAGGTAAACCTAGCAGCGTTCTGCCAAAAATGGAATTGTATTACTTTCTAGGATAAAATACTAGAATTATTTCAAAAATACTGACCAACTCTAGAATTATTTATTTTACTATTACAAATATATGTGATTTTTTAAATCGTTTTTTATCAAATCTTTTGAATATGAAATTTGAATTCATCTTGCTCATTGATAAATTGATGAGGTATCAATTTTCATCAATTTGGCATCGCTCTGCAAGATGTGCAATTATTACTTATGAATCTAGAAGATGTGCTGAGTTGGAGTTATATATCATTATAACTTGGAAATAAAATTGATTAAAATATATTCTTGTTGTTATTTGTACTTCACTATAAGAGCATTCACTAAAAATCTTTGCTTGTATAAAATTTTGAGTTGGTGGTGATAGTGGTTTCATTGATTCACCTTGATATTTTCTGTAGGTATTAATTTTGGAGGATCTTTGTTAAAGTACGGGATTGTTGATGACATGACAACATTCTTTGTGGCTTGGCAATATGATATATTTTTTTATGCAATTTTATGAATGGAGTATCATAAAGGGTTAAGTCCGATTTACCCCCCTAAACTCTTGCGAAAGTACGCTGTACCCCCCTAAACTATAATACCAGACATAATACCCCCTTAAACCATTTAATCCAGACACTTAACCCCCCCCCCCCGACCAATTTCGGCTGGTTTTACCCGTTTGATCCGACGTGGCACATCCACGTGGCAAATGATGTGGCAATAACATAAAAATACCCCTCCCCTCCCACACACACACTCTCTCTCCCTTTCTCCCGTGAAAAATTCCCCAACCCAAACCCCTAACCCTAGCGGTGGAGGCGGAGCTTGGCGGCACGGCGGCGTGGTGAACGGCGGCGCAGGCGAGGCTCTGCGGTGCTGCGGCGCGGCACGACGCTCGCGCGGCTGTGCGGCACACGCGCGGCTGCGCAGCAAACAGCTCTCACGCGGCGGCGCAGCGGTGAGGCGCACGCGTGGCGGCGCAGCGGCGCGGCGCTCGCAGGGCGGTGCGGCACACACGCGGCGGCGAGGCGCACTCGCAGAGCTTCGATCTGCACTTACTGATGCACTTTATGGAGGCCAACACTGTTAGGCACAAGGAACATATGGGAGCAATGGAGAAGCAAAAGGATACTGGAAATGCTAATCTAGTTAATATATTAGAGAATGAAAGATGTGTGGTTATGTATGCATTAGTAGCATGCGTATTTGTAATTCTGGGGTTGTATGTTAAGTTGTGATCTTCCTGTATATGCAGTGTATTAGCATGTAATCAGTACTGATATATGTCATGGAGGCTATCTGAACCAGCATGTTTCTCAATTTGTGATGGTCATGTTTTGTGCAATAAAGTGTGTGTGCAGTTAGTATAAATCAATCACAAAGGCTATTTGGAATAGCTGAAGGCAACATATGCTTCGGTGAACATTTTCAACCAGTGAATGTTTTTCAACTAAATTAAATCACTTAGCCATAAGTTTGGCATTACCACCAAAATAAGCATCACTAGCCAATAGCCACAAGTCTGGCTTTACAGCCAAAAGAAACCTGTCATCAGAGTCACAAATCTGACATTACAACCAAAATATCTATATATGTCATCAGGCCACAGTCAGCCTCCTAACTTGAAGTAGGCCTCCTAACTTGAAGTTTTTTCCTTGGTGGTCCTTGAGTTGCTGCTGCTACTGTAATAGCATGGCCAGACTTAGGAGAATGCTACAAGAAGAGATGTGTTAGCAAGCAAGAAAGCATAGGAGGCTATTTTAGTAGTAATTACATGGTAAAAACTTACAATCTTGTGTGCAACAGCAGCTTGAAATTGAACTAAGTGGTCTGTGGTAGATGCCCTTTTCTTCACTTTTGAGGAGCTCTTCTTGTCAATAGGCCTAGATTGTGCATTGGACGAAGCCTAAGCAGTGCTTGCATTTCTCTTTGCACAAGTTGTCTTGTTGTGTCCAATTCCCTTGCATCTTCTACACCTAATGATAGTGCCCACTTTTGACACCCTGGTTGCTTTGGGTTTTTCATGTGGCTCCCTTCTCCTCTCCTTCTTTGGTCTACCTGGCATTTTAACATAGGGAGGTGCAACAGGCTTGGATCTCTTAGATATTGGCCAGATATGAATGCCTTCCATAGGCTCAAGGCAATGTTCATATGTTGACATGAATGCTTTCACTGAGTAGCAGGAGGCAATATAATCATCAAGGCTATTGGTTTTGTAGTGGATGCAAGCAATAGCATGACAGCAAGAGAGCCCTGCTAACTGCCAATATCTACAAGAGCAAGTTCTGCTTTGAAGGTTGACTGTGAACCTTTGTTCATGATGTTTCACTTCAAATTTGTCATTTCCATTTGAAATTGCATGGCAAAATCCAGATTCTGTAACATAAGCATTGAGTTTCTTAAGTATGTTTGGACAGATTGGTCCTATCCACTTCTCCATTTTGGTCCTATGCTCATGTATCCTAACCATAACTTTTCTTCTAATAGCTTCAAGCATACTGATTATAGGCAGAAACCTAGCCTCAACAATCCATTTGTTGAAGGATTCACACATATTGTTGTCAACCGAGTCATAATTTGATCTAACTTGAACCATGCCCAGCTCCAGTGGTGAGGATCAGTTTTCATGATAGCCTCGGCTCCTTCCCTTGTGCATTGTGCTAGCTTTGCTTTTGCTAACATAAACAGAGGCCTACATGGAGCTTTGGCACACCTCCAAAATTTTTTTTTGCCATTACCTATTCTTGAACTTCTTCCTCCAATTGGCGTAAATGTGCCTAGCACAATTTCTATGCTCAGCTTTAGGTATCCAGGTTTCAATAGCATTAATAATTCCCTTTTGTTGATCTGATATGACCACCCAACCATCACCATCACCAGCAACAAGATCTTTGAATAGCAAAGCACAAAACCAGTCCCATGAGTCATTGGTCTCTTTCTCCACTACTGCCCAAGCAATTGGGTACATCTAGTTATTTGCATCCCTCCCTAATGAACATAGTAACTCACCATTGGTTGATCTCTTGAAAAAACAACCATCTAGTCCAACAACTCTTCTACAACCAGCAAGGAATCCTTTCTTACAAGTATTAAGGCATACGTAGATTCTTTGGAACACATGAGTTGGACTATCACTATCAAGAGTGACTACTACTGTACTGCCTGGGTTACTTCTTAGTAGCTCAAGTTGGTAGTCAAATATCCTTGAATACTCACACCTTGTTGCATCATAAAGTTTCTTTAGAACATGTGCCTTTGCTCTTTTACACTGAGGAACACTGACATTTGCAAACATTTCTTCAGAAACAGTAGAAATCATATTCTTGATACTCCATGTTGGGTTATCTCTAATCATCTTCTCATACTTCTCTGCAATTCTTATTGATGTTACCATTGGATTATCTTTCCTCTGAGGGCATATGTGTCCATCAGTAAAGCTTGTGATTTGCCAACTATTGGTCCTACTTGTCTTTTTGAGAAGACAGACCCAAGGATACAATTTCCACTCACATTTTGCTCTGACTCTATCACCCTCATCCTTTACAAACTCCACATACCTTCTGTTGGCTAGTGCATGTTTTATAACTGCATCCTTGAACTCTTTCTTACAATCAAATAACTGGCCTAGAGTAAAAGTCGGAGTGCTGCTACTACTACCTCTGAACCTTAGATACTTACTCCTTTTAGTGATCAACTGACCATCACTATCCTCTTCAAATGAATCATCTGCACTACTGTCATCATAAGGTGTTGCATTTCCATCATCCTCAATCTGTACTTGTGCTTTCTCACTCCTCTGACTAGCTCTTTCTCCACAAAACACATCATCGAGATCAGCAACTTGACCATCCTTTAGCTTCTTCTGAAACTCCTTAAATGATTTCATGATCTCATTTGCTTCCTCATCCTCCTCTGAAGAGCAGCTGTCCCCACCTAAATAATCACTATCAGAATCAGAATCACTTTCAGCACTATAAGGAACCAACTGATCACTTTGTGCTACCACTTGTGCCTCTTTCTTGTCCTTCTTAGCAAGATTATGACACTGTCTCAGTGACTCAATTTGTCCCTGAGTCTTATCTGGTATTGATGTTACTATCATAACAGGCTTCTTCCCTTTAGTATCCACTTCAAAAATTTCAACAGCCTCCTCATCTGAAGAAATTTCTTCAATTTCATCTTCAAAATCACTGTCATTATCACTTCCTACATCTTCTGCATCTGAATTGTCTTCTTGTGCAACTTGTGTATCAACATATATATCTGCAACCTCTGCTTCACTAGTACAGTCTGACATCAGTTGGCAAACCTTGTCGTCCAACAAAACACGAAGACCATCCTTCAGCTCTTTCATTGGGAACAACCAATGCAAAAGCATTGGTTTCTCAACTGCACAATGGTCCTTTAGATGGCCCTTAACCTCTGGCAACGAAACTTTGTCACGGTCAATGTGTGATATTGCTTCAGATCCACCACAATAATGCTTTTGCCTACCATCGTATATGAACTCTCCATTATAGTGGAACCGTACAACCAAAAAGTTCAGAACATCCATCGCAAAGACTCTACAACCAGAAAAAGCAAACCACTAATCATCCATCCACAATTAAATACTTAGAAATCGATAAAGTAAGCTCAACATCCCACCGGGCAACCATAAATAAATTAACAAATGAGAGAATCATACGAGCATCCCAATCTCACTGTCCTAAATTGACAAATAAATAAGCAGCTCACAACTGAAGGCCGTGCCACGCCGCCGCGCGAGCGCTGTTTGCTGCGCAGCCACGCGTGTGCCGCGCAGCCGCGCGAGTGTCGAGCCTGCGCAGCGCCGGCGCTGCCGTGCGAGCGTCGTGCCGCGCCGCTGTGCCGCAGAGCCTCGCCTGCGCCGCCGTTCACCACGCCGCCGCGCCGCCAAGCTCCGCCTCCACCGCTAGGGTTAGGGGTTTGGGTTGGGGAATTTTTCACGGGAGAAAGGGAGAGAGAGTGTGTGGGAGGGGAGGGGTATTTTTATGTTATTGCCACATCATTTGCCACGTGTATGTGCCACGTTAGATCAAACGGGTAAAACCAGCCGAAATTGGACGCAGGGGGGTTAAGTTTCCGGATTAAATAGTTTAAGGGGGCATTATGTCTGGTATTATAGTTTAGGGGGTACGTACTTTCGCAAGAGTTTAGGGGGGTAAATCGGACTTAACCCTATAATAAATTGTGCACAGTAGATCTTTTATGGTTGGAAGTTCCTCTTAGTTAAATTTTTTGTAGTCTCACAATCAACATATATGAACTCTGCTTTTTTAGTTTACCATCTATTTTAGATACACTTGGGTTTAATTAAAATATCTTTTTTTTTGTAGTTTCACAATCAACATATAAGGACTCCGTTTTTTAGTTTAAAATTTATTTGAGACACACTTGGGTAGTAATTAAGAGAACGAAACATCTTGTAGTTTCAAAAAAATGAACTACAAGAAACTCGCTGAAGAAAAAAAAAAGCGAGTTATTGTTCTCAGTGTCAACTAATGGTTATATAAAAAACCCACATCATCAAACTACGCGTTCAATCCATGTTTCATCACATTAAGGTTCCACCTGCACCCGGACTTCCCTTATTCTTCTGATTCATCCTGTTGCTGTCTGTCAAGTGGGAGAAGATAATCCGGATTACCTTTCTTTTACGAGCTATCGATTTATTTGACAAAGTACACCAGCTGACGCAATGGCTGTAGTCCGTGGACACTGTGCGCTTGTAAATTGTAAGCAACAAGCTACGACGTACACAGAGTTGGTAAAAATCGTATTCCACACACGCTTTAAAGACCAAGTCCGCATCATATATGAAGGAAAATGACTAATATGGATCGATCCGACGCGATTTCAAATTCCTTTTCTTTTCCGACGATTGCAAAGGTCTGGAGTTGAAATAAGTGAAATGCTTTAATTATTCGTCCGTAGACAGTTTCAAGATTCTTCGTTTTTCACAACTGCGTGCACAAGCCTGCATTTGAAGGAAGCAAGATGCAGGACTAAAAACCACAGTACATGTGGACTTCTTTCTATCTTGAATTCCATTTCGTGAATATCAGGCATACTTCTTGTTTTACTACAGGAATCGAAGCAAGTGAAAATGAAGAAGCTTGAGAAGATGCTTCTCCTACTGTCGCTGCTTGCGGTGATCGCCGTCGTTGCTCGATGCGACGCGGCGGCTCTGAGGCTGCACGCCACCCACGCCGACGCCGGCCGCGGCCTCAGCACGCGCGAGCTTCTGCGCCGGATGGCCGCGCGCAGCAAGGCCCGCTCGGCGCGCCTGCTCTCCGGGCGCGCGGCGAGCGCCCGCATGGACCCGGGGAGCTACACCGACGGCGTCCCGGACACGGAGTACCTGGTGCACATGGCCATCGGCACGCCGCCGCAGCCGGTGCAGCTCATCCTCGACACCGGCAGCGACCTCACCTGGACACAGTGCGCGCCGTGCGTGTCCTGCTTCCGCCAAAGCCTCCCACGCTTCAACCCGTCCCGTTCCATGACGTTCTCGGTGCTGCCCTGCGACCTGCGCATATGTCGCGACCTGACCTGGTCTTCCTGTGGCGAGCAGAGCTGGGGCAACGGCATCTGCGTCTACGCCTACGCCTACGCCGACCACTCCATCACAACCGGTCATCTCGACTCCGACACCTTCAGCTTCGCGAGCGCCGATCATGCCATCGGTGGCGCCTCTGTGCCGGACCTAACCTTCGGCTGCGGCCTCTTTAACAACGGGATTTTCGTGTCCAACGAGACCGGCATCGCTGGCTTCTCCCGCGGCGCGCTGTCCATGCCGGCGCAGCTTAAAGTCGACAACTTCTCCTACTGTTTCACCGCTATAACAGGGTCAGAACCGAGCCCCGTGTTCCTCGGCGTTCCGCCGAACCTCTACAGCGACGCCGCCGGCGGTGGCCATGGCGTCGTCCAGTCCACCGCTCTCATCCGGTACCATTCGTCTCAGCTGAAAGCGTACTACATCTCCCTCAAGGGCGTAACCGTGGGCACGACGAGGCTGCCGATCCCGGAATCGGTGTTCGCCTTGAAGGAGGATGGCACGGGCGGCACCATCGTCGACTCCGGCACCGGCATGACGATGCTGCCCGAGGCCGTCTACAACCTCGTGTGCGACGCGTTCGTGGCCCAGACGAAGCTCACTGTGCACAACTCGACGTCGTCGTTGTCCCAGCTCTGCTTCTCGGTGCCGCCGGGAGCCAAGCCCGACGTACCGGCGCTGGTGCTGCACTTTGAGGGCGCGACGCTGGACCTGCCTCGGGAGAACTACATGTTTGAGATCGAGGAGGCCGGGGGAATAAGACTCACCTGCCTCGCTATCAACGCAGGGGAGGACCTGAGTGTCATAGGCAACTTTCAGCAGCAGAACATGCACGTTCTCTACGATCTGGCCAACGACATGCTGTCCTTTGTCCCTGCACGCTGCAACAAGATCTAGAATTGCATCTTCCTGTAAACACATCGTCGTCGATGAAAATTACGCTGTCATAAAAGTTCTATTGGTCCAAAAAAAAAAAGAATCCAAAAGAAAACCGGTCTAAAATGTAGTACTCCCTCCTATAGTTGCCCAAAAGGCCCGCAGCTAGACGGCCTGATTCATGGCACGGAGATTTGGCCTGGCCTAGATATGGCACGACCCAATTGTTGTTGGGTCCGTGCCGGTCCGACCCGACCGTTGGGCTGTGCCTGAGCCTCTTTCTCGGCACGACGTGCAATGATCCCCATCACCCGTAGGCCGTAGCCCGTCGGTGGCAGGCCCAAAGAGATGACGGATGTAAAATAGACTTATTCCAAGGACAAGCACGATGGCTGGTCGTGCCTTCGAGCCAGCAAGACACGACCCGAGTCTTATTGGGCCATGCTTGGGCTGTAGGTGCACCTTGTGGCCGGGCACAACATGGCATGTCGGTCAGCTGTGTCGGCCTGATTGATGTCGGGTAGTGCCAGGTGGTCCATTTGGCCATCTTTACTCGTTCCATTCTAAAATATAGGAACTACCTTACGAATTTGTCTTAAAATATAACAATTTGTCCATCAACATTCTCTTTCCAACCAATCACAACCCCTTCACCATTCAATTACTCCACCTACCTGTACTTCTCATTCAATCGCAACATTCCTCAATTTAGTTACACCTACTTTCTTTTTTTTGAACGACTCGTACGAGACGGTGCAAAGTTCTATTGATAGAGTAGGAAAAAATTACAAGATTATAACTCTGGAGGGTCATAACCAGGAAAATAGAAAAAATATACCACCACCCACACGCCGACATCGCCAACACACAAGCCCAGGAGAAGGCTAACACCGAACCGGCTGCCGCTAAGCGTGACCAACCGCCACTAGACCAACAAAGGGACACCGGCGAGATCGCCCCCTAGGGGATGCCAAAACTACGTCTTCAAGAAGAGAAGCGACGAAAAAACCGCCACCGCCGCCCGTCGGGACTCAAAGGAGCCAAGACTGGGCTTACGCCCGGCAAACACCCTTGAGGGGTGAGACATCACAGCAACGCCCTTAGGAGGAGGGATAACCATCGTTGTCGGTCCGGCCAAGGCTGGACTGGGTTTTCACCCGCCGCTCACCACCTGTGAATCCACGGCTGACGCATTAATGCTCCACCACCACACAAGTTTTGCCGATATGTGGGACCCCTGCACCGGCGTCCCCCGCCGGCCAACCTTCGTGCGCCGAAGACCGCGCCACCCCCATTGGTAGCTCCTCCTCACACCTAGGTCGCCTCCTCCACCGCCGGCCGCGCCTCTCTGCGCCAAGCCGGCCTCCTCCACTAGACGCGCCTCTCGCGCCAATCCAGCCTCCCTCCATCTGCCGCGCCTCTCGCGCCAAGCCGGCCTTCATCTCCGCCGCCCGCGCCTCTCACGCCGAGCCGGCCTCCACTGCTATCGGCTACCTTGTTTGTGCCAAACCGGTCTCCGACCCCTTCATCAAACGATGCCGCGCCGACCAGATGTAGCCGTCTCCCACGCCTCGGCTAGCCGTCCGAGGCCGCCATGCCTCCAGTGACCGCAGACACGGTCACCACCACCGCAGCCGCTGCTGCTGAATGCCCAACCACCTCGTCGTCGCCATCCTTGCCTCGACCCGACTCCTTCCCCGCCACCAACGTCGCCACCGCCTCCACAGTCATGGCTGCCGTCGCCGCTACAACCGACGCTAATCACCGCCTCCGCAAACCGCCACTGCGCCGTCGCCCTCCACCAGAAAGTAGCTAGCAGCCGCCCCGACGCCATGTTCGCCACTGCCGTCGTTGCTAGCCAACACCGCAGCCGTCAACTTCCGCAATCGCCGCCGCCGTTGCCAACTGTCGCCGGCCAACTACCGCCGCCGCCGTCACCAACTGCCGCCGGTCACCCTCCAGATCTGGCCGAGAGGCACGGATCTGGGGGACACCGCCGCCGTCACCGCCGGGCATTGCGCCATCGCCGCCACAAGCCGACATGGGACCACCGCCGCCGCCTTCGTGCCCTCGACCGACTTCGTCCCCGCCGCCTTCAGCCACCGTCGCCCAGCGCCGCGCGCCCCTACCTTCGCCGTCGCCCTCCCCGCAGCCAGTCGCCGCCCTGCTAGATCCGGCCGGAGCGGCCCGGATCTGGCAGTCACCGCACCTAGGGCGGCTCCCCTACCCACCCGGTGTGAGGTCGGCGAGAGGCCCCGCCACCGCCGTCCTTGCGGCCGGCCGGCTTTGCCAGCAGCTGCTCAGGTGACGGCGAGGCGGAAGGGGAGGAGGGGAGGGAGAGGGGCGGCTGGGTCGTCGCCTCCCATGCCACCCTAGGGGAGGACGACGCGAGAGCAAGAAATTTGAGGGATTGTTACACCTACTTTCTTAATAGCCGTATCCAACCGTATCACAATTTGATCAACCCGTAAAGTTTTTAAGGTCTACCCAAATTGATAATCATCTAAGATGTGTCTTCATTTATTCGTGTAGAAGGGCCTTAGAATTGATCCTACGCTCAACCCCCGTGGTCTATGGGTTCCACGTCGGAGCGAGCTCCATCTAGCCCTCCCCTTCTTTGCTCTCCCTGTTGTACGGTGGCACCGCGCCAATGGGAAGAAGACCGTTGTTGCCATCGAGAAGACGAATGGCCCACGAGCAGACCCGGTTGTCAGCCTCACCAATCTACTATCAGATCCGCTCAGTGGCCTCGCCGAGCCAACCAATAGCGTGGGATGGCTCTGGCTCTAGCTCCAATTTCGTGGCGAGGATGACGGAAGTGCCGGCTCCAATTCTAGCTCCGATGACGAGGACGAGGGAGAAAACAATGGGGAGAGAAGACCGCTCTATCTCCGGCGTGGGATAAGGGAGGAGGCAGTGGGAATGGAAACAAATTCGGAGCGGAGATAAAGGGAGGAGGCGGTAGTAACAGATCTAGAGGGGACAGAATGAGGCGATTATTATTATTTTTAGCAAAGCGGTAGAATTGAAAAATAACATGCGGTTTTTATGGATCATGCATTTGTGGGTTGTGTGGCCTGTACCAGTAGCTTTGGATTGACTTGGACAATTTCAAATCACTCAGCATTGTGAGGCTATGGTTTATATATGGTCTTAGTTCACGCTATAATGGGCCATAAGGTCCGAGGCCTGATGGCCCAGCCCAAGGCATGAGGTTTTGGCCTAGCCCAAGCACGGCACGACCCGATCGCTGTCAGGCCCATCAACACTATCAACTGTTGGGCTGTGCCTGGGCCTATGCCTCTGCCTCGGCATAGTGGACCGGCCCGGCACGGCAGAGCACGAAGTTCAGGGAGGTGAAATAGACTTATTTTCAACCATATGAAAGACATGGCACAAAGAATAGGGAGGACAAATAGACGTATTATATGGCATGGCCCCAAGAGTAGGGACGTAAAATAGACTTATTATATATATATATATATATATATATATATATATATATATATATATATTTTGCGCGCGAGTTCATATGTACCCACAATCTACACCCTATATGTAGCTTGCACGAATCTTAGGGCAAGTATATTATGTGCTAACAAAATGTAACACGCATGATATTTACGTTATACTATATTTTTTACAAGTGTAAAATACCTTGTTTATATAATTTTTGTATTTCTTGTATGCAAAACTTGTTTATGTAGTTTTTGATGGTAGGATATATATCATTTTGGAAATATCATTTTTGCAAGATGACAATTTGGTGATATAGTAGATATATTGTTTTCTCATTTTGACTAAATATCATGTTATAAACAAAATAAGGGTTAGAGAAATACAATGCACTAGATATATAAATGTCATATATGATTATTATTGAAAAATTTATTTGGTAAAAATGCAACATACATGTTATACATATTATGAACCAACCTAATCCTAATTATCTTTTCTCCCTATAGTAATCATTCATTTGGTTAAGGTTAGGTACATTTTGCAGCACGAATTTTGGAACACATCAACGGTGTAGATTGTAGGTACATATGAACCCGAGTGCAAATCTGTGATATATATATATATATATATATATATCACAACCCAAAGAGGAGGGAGGGGAAATAGACTTATTTCAAAGAAAGCACGATGTGCTGCCTGTGCCTTCGGGCCGGCTTGGCACGACCCGACCCTTATTGGGCCGTGCATGAGCCATAGGTGGAGCACGTGGGCCGGCATGGCACGGCCCGACGCGTAGGTCGAGTCGTGCCGGCCTAACAAATCTTGGCTCAGGCGCGACCGGGCCTGGGCCATGCTGGGCCGAGTGGCCCATTTGGCCATCTATAGTTCACACAGCACAATGAGATCACCGCTACTAGTGGTCTTAATTGGTTATGACGAGTCTGGAACATAAAATTTCGGATTTTTTTATGACGTGGAATGAGACAATCCATTAGCACATGATTAATCGAGTATTTAATTAGAAACTTTTGTATAGAAAACTTTTACACAAAATGTGTCGTTTAGCAAATTAGGAAATGTGCTTAAAAAAACGAGAAACTAGCTGTTTCTGTTAGTTGTTTAGAACTCAGCCTAGTCGTTTGTCTGCATTCTGGCAGTTCAATATAAAATAGGTAAGTAAAAGCAGTCAGTGGAGTTCAAACAGGCGAGTGAAAAACAATGAGCGAGACGTATAGGTTCCTAAGTTAAATCGAAGGGGGTAAAACGCAGATGGTTGAAAATTAAAGGTGCCAGGACTACGGATTTCAATGTATATTCTCGTTTGCAGAATGCTGACTCCGTCCAATACGACCTCAATGGTTTCTTCCGGCTGGGCGGCTGGCTGAATTGTTGAAAAGACAATAATTTAAAATGCATAAACGCGCGCCGCGAGTCCAAAAACGGCTGAGAACTTGCAACAACAGAATTCGTAGTTGCTGAAAACCTGAAACCAACACGTGCATAACCTCGCTATATATATGGAGCCAACGTTGGGTTCGTATTTGCAACACAAACTCACCAAGCAGGCAAAAGCAGTAGCTAGCAATAAGCACGCCATCACTGAAATGACGAAGCAGCCGATCAAAATGCAGAAGCTAGTTCTCTTGATCCCCGCGTTGCTTGCAGCTCTAGCCATTAATTCTTGCTGCAATGCCGCCGCGGCGCCCGTCCGGATGCAGCTCACCCACGTCGACGCCGGCCGCGGCCTGTCTGGGCGCGAGCTGATGCGCCGCATGGCGCTGCGCAGCAAGGCCCGCGCCCCGCGGCTCCTCTCAAGCTCAGCGACCGCGCCGGTATCTCCAGGGGCGTACGACGACGGCGTTCCTATGACGGAGTACCTGTTGCACCTGGCCATCGGCACGCCGCCGCAGCCCGTGCAGCTGACGCTCGACACCGGCAGCGTCCTCGTCTGGACGCAGTGCCAGCCGTGCGCTGTATGCTTCAACCAGTCTCTCCCTTACTACGACGCGTCGAGATCCTCCACGTTCGCCTTGCCTTCCTGCGACTCCACGCAGTGCAAGCTGGACCCGAGTGTGACTATGTGCGTCAACCAGACGGTCCAGACCTGCGCCTACTCCTACTCGTACGGCGACAAGTCGGCGACGATCGGCTTCCTCGATGTGGAGACGGTCTCGTTTGTCGCCGGCGCCTCCGTGCCCGGCGTGGTCTTCGGTTGCGGCCTCAATAACACCGGCATTTTCCGCTCCAACGAGACCGGCATCGCTGGCTTCGGCCGCGGGCCACTGTCCCTCCCGTCGCAGCTCAAAGTGGGCAACTTCTCCCACTGCTTCACCGCAGTATCCGGACGGAAACCGAGCACTGTCCTGTTCGACCTGCCGGCAGACCTCTACAAAAACGGCCGCGGCACCGTCCAGACCACCCCTCTAATCAAGAACCCTGCCCATCCAACTTTCTACTACCTCTCGCTGAAGGGCATCACCGTCGGGTCGACGAGGCTGCCGGTGCCGGAGTCCGCGTTCGCTCTAAAGAACGGGACCGGCGGAACGATCATCGACTCCGGCACGGCCTTCACTTCGCTGCCGCCGCGGGTTTACAGGCTCGTCCATGACGAGTTCGCCGCACACGTGAAGCTTCCCGTGGTGCCCAGCAACGAGACGGGTCCCTTACTCTGCTTCTCGGCGCCGCCGCTGGGGAAGGCGCCGCACGTGCCGAAGCTGGTGCTGCACTTTGAGGGCGCGACGATGCACCTGCCCCGGGAGAACTACGTGTTCGAGGCAAAGGACGGGGGTAACTGCAGTATCTGCCTTGCCATTATTGAAGGCGAGATGACCATAATTGGCAACTTCCAGCAGCAGAACATGCACGTACTCTACGATCTGAAGAACAGCAAGCTGTCCTTCGTCCGTGCTAAGTGCGATAAACTTTAGACTCTCATCTCCCTAGCCACGAACCCACGACTTCCGTCGTCCGTGCTCAATGCGATGGGTAAGTGTATTTTTAGAGAGAAGGCTCACGCCCAGCTTTTTACTAAAAGCATAAGAATTCAGTACAGAAACAAAACAAACTGCTGGGAAAGCCAGCGAACTAGAGAAGCACAAGGCAACTGTAGGCCTACCGCTGCTGGCACAGCACTAACAAGATGGGTAAGTGTATTCATCCCTTGACAGAATATCATCGGTGCCTGCCATTAAATAGTCATCCAAAAATTTAGAATAAATTGACGAGAAATTAATATGAAATATCACTTCATAAACATGTAATTTAAAATTCAACTTCTACAAGGTGTAACAAAAATAACAAATATAATTATGAATGTACAATAACTATTTTCAGCTTAATTTTTTTTATAACCTGTAGAAGTCGAATTTAGCCTTACGTGTTTGTGGAGTGATATATTTCATATTAGTCTATCTTGTTATTTTTTTCAAATCTTTTATAACTATTTGGATGACATGTAAGCAACAAAGAGGCATCTCCTCGAAGGATGAAAATCCATATCCCGATCGCACTAGGCTAGATCACCTCATCTGTGACGGGCTCTAACCCTCACCTTTAACGGATTTGGTCTTGGTCACAGATTAGTGGTCACTGATTACTACACCTCATCTCAAACGGGTGAAAGCCCGTCAATGATGATCGACACCTCTGACGGACCGAATAAAATAACCCATCAAAGGTGAGTCTCACCTGTGACAAGTGGATCTTTTCAGCCCGTCAAAGGTGACAAACACCTCTGACAGGTTCAACTCACCACCCGACACAGGTGTGGAAAATCAACCAAAAAAAAATTCAAAAGCCCTCAGCCTTTGGCTCTCAACCCTCAGCCCTTAGGCCATCTCTCATGACAGGAAGAACATCTCAAGATATATCTCATGACACAATAACTTTGCATTTTATTGACAGATATGTTGACACAAGAAGCACATCCACACAAGTAATATACATCACAATTCCACACAACTTTGAGTAATAAACTACAAATCCACACAAGCAACCATGAGGTATAACCCAATTTGAAAATTGGAAATGAAAATTTGCACAACCTACAAGAGTTGGAAATGGCGGCGGAGCTAGCGGGTGAAGGAGACGGTGGACGACGCCAGCGGTCGGGGGTAGAGGCCGCCGGATCAAACGGTTGGCAGTGCGGTGGAGGAGGCTGCCGCTGGATCTGGCAGGCGGCGGTGGGGTGGCCGAAGACGAGGCGACTGGCGGTCGGGGGAGAGGCACCGGATCTGCGACTGGAGGAGGACGAGGCCGGCGGTCGTTAGGCGGGGGAGGCGGCAACGGCTGGCGGTCGGGACGCGGAGGAGGAAGTGGCCGGCGATGGGGGAGAGGCCGCGGTGGCCGGATCCGCACCCTATAGGCCTGTTAACGCCAGAATTTGGTAAGCCCAGAGTCATCATCGACTTAGAGTCTGTATCGGCTTCAAAGTCTTGGAATTGGCCGATGGGAGTCGTCAAATCGCCAGCAGACGTGTTCTTGGTGGAGTTGGATCAATTAGAGGAAATTTATCCAGAAGAGTCCGAGTTCAAGGAGGATGCGGCATGGCAAATTATCTATTAATTAGGAATAATTTGTTAGTTTTCTTTTATCTTTAGGAAAGTGTGTTTCGTGTCCTATGAGGACTTTATGTTTTCCTTTTATCTCTTAGGAAAGTTTCTTTCTTGTCCTACAAGGACTAGTATCTACCCATGGATATAAATATGTACACCCGGGGTCATTGTAATCAATCGCCACCCTCTTTACCGAGGTTTCTACTTGTCATCCTGCGGAACTTGGCACCTGACGCGGGGCTGCATTGGCTTTTGATCTCCGGCGAAGGGGTAAGTCCTACGTTCCGCTGGCCCTGGTGGATCTATCGGCTATGTCGGTGTTGTTCAAGGCTGCATCGTTTCGATCTCTTGGATCGCTCTGGTTTGGTTGATATATTTGCCTACCTGATATCTCAATTTTATCTCTAATTGCATTTTGTTTAGAGACGCATCGGTTTAGTTGGGACTGTCTTAGTTAGGTCCAATCTTCCGTCTTAGCCGATATATCTCTACTATCACAATGTTATTGTAAATAGATTTGTTATATCCATCACATTAGACATATCTATCGGCTTATCGAGTATTAGATTATCATATACAAACTCGTGCAGCATCGGTTAGCTTCGACCTACTAGATTGTTGTTGATAATATAAATCTTATTAAGCCGATAGGTTCATGCTAATGTTTTATCGGGGTGCTTGTTTTATCGGGGTGCTAGCTGATAAGTTATCTGGATGTTGCATCGGCTTATAAGGATTGCATATACATATAAGTTGGATTTAGCCGATCGCAACAAAGACTTTACTGTGGATTTTATGACATCGGACCTCTAGCCGATGTATGCTTTAACCTTCGGATCAATGCTTATTCTATCATATTGTATTGCTAGCCGATTGGTTTATACTGGATTATATTGTTATTTTATTACATCATCATCAGCCGATTGCCTTTATATCATTATCTACATTGGACATATAGTCGATTGCTTAAACCCTATCGCTATCGGTTGGTATCGGCATCGGCTATTATCGGCATCGGCTGGAACTACTCCATCGGTTTATCAGCCGATCGACTCATTGATATGCTATTTGTATATCTTGTCAGTTGCAGGATCAAACTGACTGGCACGCCTGCAGCTCATCAACCTTTGGTCCTGCACTGGAGCTAAGCAGATCTACCAGGCTAGTGTGTATTTTTCGCATCAACACATTTTTGGCACGCCCGGTGGGACACGAGTTTTGCACCCAACATGTCTGAAGAGGGAGTCAATGCCAATAAGGAGCAATCTCCCAAGCCGATGGTTGAAACACTTCAAGATACAGTTGATGAAGCAGTTCATCGCGCATTATTTAATCAATGTGGAGTTTTGGCGGATACATTACAAAATTTGATCAAGGTAACAGTTGATGAGTTAATTATTATTCAGAAAAGCCAGCTTGGGGGGCAGATTGAAGAACAACAACAGCATCGGCTCGGGGGGCAAACACATCAGTATCAGCATGATGAGCTATATCAACAATATCGGCCAGAAGAATCTCAAAGACATCAAAATATAGAAGATTGGGCCGATGGAATTGCAAAAATTAGTAGAGGAGCAGTTTGGACTTGGACCTAAGGAACATATCCATATGTATCGGCAGCCATATCCTGAGTAGTTCGATAGGGTTCCATTACCACACTGATACAAGGTTCTAGACTTCTCCAAATTTTCAGGGCAAGATGATGTATCTATAATGGAACACATCAGCTGATTCTTAGCACAATGTGGTGAAGCATCGACTAAAGAGGCTCTGAAAGTTAGATTTTTTTTCCATTGTCTTTGACTGGATCGGCTTTCTCTTGGTTTTCATCATTACCATCAAATTCTATCATAGGATGGGCCAATTTTGAGAAGCAATTTCATTACTACTTCTTTGCTGGCATCGATGAGATGAAGTTTTCAGATTTGATATCAGTTCAATAGCAAGAAGGGGAATTGGCAATGGAATATATTCAAAGATTTCGTGACGTCTGCAACCGAAGTTATACTTTGAGTCTAAGCGATGAGCAGCTAGCAGATCTTGCCTTCCAAGGGCTATCAACACCTATCAAAGATAGATTCTTTTGCCATGAGTTTGACAGCTTAGCTTATCTAATGCAGACAGTATCGGCTCATGAAAGCCGATTGGAAGAAGCAAAGAAAGATCAGTTTTGGAGTTATCAAGACAAGAAATAAGATAATTTTGAAGCATGAGTTTTCATACTCCAAAACTGGGGGGCATGTGTTAACGTCAGAATTTGGTAAGCCCAGAGTCATCATCGGCTTAGAGTCTGTATCGGCTTCAGAGTCTTGGAATCGGCCGATGGGAGTCGTCAAATCGCCAGCAGATGTGTTCTTGGTGGAGTTGGATCAATTAGAGGAAATTTATCCAGAAGAGTCCGAGTTCAAGGAGGATGCAGCATGGCAAATTATCTATGAATTAGGAATAGTTTGTTAGTTTCCTTTTATCTTTAAGAAAGTGTGTTTAGTGTCCTATGAGGACTTTATGTTTTCCTTTTATCTCTTAGGAAAGTTTCTTTCTTATCCTAGAAGGACTAGTATCTGCCCATGGGTATAAATATGTACACTCGGGGTCATTGTAGTCAATCTCTTGATCAATACAACTACTCGGCGCATTGCCACCCTCTTTACCGAGGTTTCTACTTGTTATCCGGTGGAACTTGGCACCTGACATGGGGCTGCATCAGCTTTTGATCTCCGGCGAAGGGGTAAGTCCTACGTTCCGCTGGCGCTAGTGGATCTATCGGCTATGTCGTTGTTGTTCAAGGCTGCATCGCTTCGATCTCTTGGATCGCTCTGGTTTGGTTAATATATATGCCTACATGATATCTCAATTTTATCTCTAATTGCATTGTGTTTAGAGACGCATCGGTTTAGTTGGGACTGTCTCGGTTAGGTCCGATCTTCTGTCTTAGCCGATATATCTCTACAATCACAATGCTATTGTAAATAGATTTGTTATATCCATCACATTAGACAGATCTATCGGCTTATCGAGTATTAGATTAAAGGCAATCGACTGATGATGATGTAATAAAATAACAATATAATCTAGTATAAACCAATCGGCTAGCAATACAATATGATAGAATAAGCATTGATCCGAAGGTTAAGGCATACATCGGCTGGAGGTCCGATGTCATAAAATCCACAGTAAAGTCTTTGTTGCGATCGGCTAAATCCGACTTATATGTATATGCAATCCTTATAAGCCGATGCAACATCAAGATATCTTATCAGTTAGCACCCCGATAAAACATTAGCATGAACCTATCGGCTTAACAAGATTTATATTATCAAGGCCAGATCCGGCGGCTGGCGGTCGGAAGGCGGCTGGGGAAGGCGACGCCGGCC